GGGTTGGGTTGAGTTGCGTCTGGATGACCGGTCTGGATTTTGGTCTGCAGCTGGCGGACGGGAAGAGAGAGAGAAAAACTCGTATGCACGGGCAGAGTTGTGCCGTGAGGCTGCGTGTCGAGGATGTTACTGTTTCTTGCTTGAGCCCGCCGACACATGTGGCCGAGGAAGAGCAAGAGGATGACTCGTGGCTTGGGGACGTGGCTGGGCCACTGCAAGTCATGGCCCAGTCGGGGAATTCCTCGCTCCCAGTAGGGCAACGAGCTCGGGGTGGCTTGTGTGCATCGCGAAAGCGAGAGAGAAACAGATGCACCATGCACAACAGAGAAGCCATGAGGGGGTGGCTTGGCTCTTGGCCTTCTCAACCGCCGAAAACACGCCAGATCAGCGGTTGGGGCGTCGAGAAAAATCTTCGGGTCCCTGGGGAAGGAGGGTGCCCACGGAAGGTCCAGGAATGAAGCAAGCGGGTGCGGTTCGCTCAGCTGGTGAGCGGCGCGCTGTGGGACTCGTCTTGGTGGGCGGCATCTCAGCCCTAGCGTCAATAGTCCCGATCCAGCTCATGCACTGCAGTTGCAACGGGCAGTGCTAGTGAACAGACGTGGTCAATCAATTTTCTGCTGCTGCATGAAAGTGAAAGAGCCCGGAGGGTCCCGGATGCCCAGGGCGAGCAGGAGTCGGCGGCGTCAGGGCGGTGGGAGACGCGTCGTGCCCCCCTTCGTTCTCCTTTTGTTTTTTCCTTTTTGAGGGGGCGACGGAGGGGTTACACAGACGGCAAACCACGAATGCGCTGCTTGGCTGGGGAAATTTGGGGCGCCTGCAGCACACTGACCCAGGCTTGGTTGGGTCGGCTGCACCTCAAGACTTAGCACGACCTCAACCAGCGCAGCACACCACGGTCCACCTCGCTGCAGCGGGCGACGGCACAGGATTGCCGTCAGCTGGCTGTCAGGTCAGACTGACAGGAGCGGGGCGGCAAACAGCTCAGCAGGACAGGCGGTTTGAGCGACAAGGTGAATGGAAAAGGGGAGGGATAAACAATAAATATGCAAACGGACCCAATATTGCCTCCACTCATCTCGTGGCAGCACCGGCTGGCCAGTGAGGGTTTGGCTGGCTACAGGCTAAAAATAGGGCAGCAGGAGGGCGCTGCTGGGACACCCGAGTCCCTGGATCTGTGTCTGTCTCTGTTCTGTCTCTCGCCCACGAGGGTCTCGACGGGCCCAGAACATGTTGGGAGGGCATCTTGCGTGCGAAAGGATCCCGTATCCGAGTCAGATATCTCACTCAGGCTACCGGCCTCAAACGCTTTTCTGGCTGGACTGGGACGAACGGGAAGGAGGACGAAGGACCCAACCCAACTGCACAGGAGCTGCACAGCCAACAGCACTGCAGATGCCGGCCGGGTGGGCTCAGAGCTGGAGGAGTCTGGGTCTGGAATGGAAGCGGCTTGAAAGGGAGGGGGAGAGCGGCTTGCGAGCTGGGGTGGTGGTGGTGGGCTGCGGGTGGTGGGCGGGTGGGCGCTGATGGCTGGCGGGGTGCATCAGGCCCGGAGCTGGGCCTCCCTGCCTGCGCTAATGCAGGAACACCCCGGTCGAGCAGGCCCGGGGCCAATGGCAGGGCTTCTGCGTCGTCCTCGTTTCCCGTTTGGGCCGAGTCCCTGGCCTGATTGCTCGCTCAGGTTTTTTTTCTTCCCGCTTTCTCCACAATCTGCTGCTGCACCAGGGAGGTCCAGTCCCGCCGAGCTGAACACCAAGACGACCGCACCCATGGATTGCGAGGTCCGCATGGCCGCACGGCTCGTTTCACTGCAGCAGCCCCAGCGCGGAGCCAGCGCGCGGCCAGCACGGCGATTGAGTGAGGCTCTGGGGAGAGAGAGTGAGAGAAAAAGGAAACGCGGAGAGAGCTGACAGGGGCATCCCCGCCCATTCTCTGCCCTTAACCGACCCATCACATCGCCGACGCCGCCGATTCCTCCCCATGGCATGGCCCAACCGTCGACGCCGGTCGACACTCGAACCGCGTGTGCCTGCGAGTCTCTGACCCTCACTCTCAGCTCGCCGCGAGGACGCACCCGTCCGAGCACCATGCTATCGCCCACCCGCCGTCAGGCGAGCCACGCGCCGGTGACTGGCGATGCCCAAGCAACAAGAGAACAGACGCCGGTCGAGAGATGAGGTGGCTTCCCACTGCTGCCCACCCGCCCTGCCCTGCCCTTCCCTATCTTGCCCCTGGCATCGTCAGGCCCTGTCATCCACCTGGCCAGCAAACGGACAGCGCTGGGCCCAGCCCTCGCTGCCTCGTCGCCGCGCTAGCTGCTCTTGGTGTGCGTGCCCAGCCCAGCCCATCCGGTCGCTGGGTTTGCCGAGCCTGCCAGCCCTGGTCCAATAGTTCGCGGCTTGCTCCCACATGTGTGTTGTCTGAGAGAGCGAGTGTGTGAGTGGGTGTGATTCTCTGCGTGTGACGATGGGGGATGCATAAGAGAGCCGACTTCCCCGGAAATCTGGGGAAGCGTCCCCCCTTTCCCTCTCTTCCCTCCCCCAGGGTCATCCTACGACAACGACAAGTGAAGGATCTCTGCGTCTCTCCTTGTCAACACACTCGTTAGACACTCTCACCACCCCGCCACACACTCTCTCCCACCACCATGGCCGCCCTTCGGTCCATGGCCGCTGCCATGGCGGCAGTGGCCCTGGTCGGACGCGTCCAGGCCACCGAGGTGCCGCTGCCTCCGTGCCTGGACCCCTTCCGGCCCTTCGTCTACTCGGGCTGCTTCCAGGACACGGGCAGCCCGCAGATCCTGCCCTACCGCAGCCCGGTCTCGTCCGACGACATGACCGTCGAGAAGTGCGTGGCCGAGTGCAAGGGCAACGGCTACCGCTACGCCGGCCTCGTCTACTACGGCGTGTGCTACTGCGGCCAGACCGTCAACGGCCCGGCCGTGACTGAGGATCAATGCAGCTTCCCCTGCCACGGCAACTCGACCGAGAAGTGCGGCGGCGACAACATCTTCTCCGTCTACCAGGACCCCACCTTCCTGCCCGTCGAGGACGTCACCGTCGAGGACTACAGCTCGCTCGGTTGCTGGACCGACGACTCGAGCCTCGGCCGCGCCCTGACCTACCGCCAGAACCAAGTCGATGGCGCCACCCTGACCACCGAGAAGTGCCTGCAGGCCTGTCGCGACGGCGGCTTCCCCTTTGCCGGTACTGAGTATAGCGGTACATTCTCTCTCTCTCGCTCTCGCTCCCCTCGCTTGACCATGAAGATCTGACTTCCCCCCCAGGCGAGTGCTACTGCGGCGTCGTTATCGGCAACGACACGTACTCGGCCCCCGCCGAGGACTGCAACATGCCCTGCAATGGCAACAACGCCCAGACCTGTGGCGGCCGCAGCCGTCTCAACCTGTACGTCGCCAACGAGCTCCAGTCCCTCGAGCCCTGCGGCTACGAGCCGCCCGTCTCGAGCAGCACCCCGCCCGTCACCTCCACCACCGCCACCTCCACCACCTCCCAGGTCGTCTCGACCACCACCACCTCGTCCGCCTGCGTGAGCACCACTGTGGTCCCGCCCGAGTGCGAGTACAAGTGCGGCAAGTGGTGTGCGTCGGGCCTGCCCGACTGGAGCGACGACAAGGTCTGCAAGACCTCGTGGTCCAACTGCGCGCTGCAGGTCTCGTCCTGCTTCAAGCAGGCCGGCTGGCCCGACGCGCTCAACTGCTTCGACTTTGGCGACTGGTGCGGCAGCCTCTCGCGCTACTGCGATAGCAAGCCGCTCGGCGGGTGCCGCAAGTCCGACTTCAAGTCGCGCAACCCCCCCAAGAACCCCGCCACCTCCAAGACGCTGACCGTCACCACCACCTGCGCGCCCTCCACCACCGCCAAGGCGACCACCACCACCGCCACCACCACCAAGCCCGCCACCTCCACCACCAAAGCCCCCGTCCCCACCCCGACCAACGTCTGCATCCAGCCCTCCAACGCCTTCTACGGCTACGGCCCGGGCAAGCCCGTCGGCGGCATTGACATGCCGGTGGTCACCTGCAACGACCTCGCCGTCGACTGGCCGGGCTACCCCTTCAAGCAGTACAACGACGTCGACACGCGCCGCTGCAAGAAGTACCCGCGCAACGGCTGCACGTCGGCCTGCGCGGATGCCTGCAAGGAGCAGTACGAGGACTGCGTCGATGTGTACGCGGAGGGTTGCAAGTCCCGTCCCCGCACCTGGAAGAGGGGCGGGTACTTTGACTTTGCCAACAGCTCGCCTGTGGAGAGGCGGACGTTTGGCTGGACGGATTCGTGGGGCGGCGCGGTCGGCAAGTGCAAGGCCCAGTATGATGACTGCCTCAGGGTGAACAGGGGGGTGACGGGTGCCGGCAAGTGCCCCAAGTTTGGGGGCTGGTAAAGAGAGGGATTGAGGAGAGCGAGGGGGGTGCTTTAGCTTTCGTACGCTCCTTTGGGGTATGATAATTAGTGCGTAAATAATAATATCTAGTGTCTACATGACGCCTGGTCAAGGTTTCGAGTGCTATGCGGTGGGTGATGATCAGAGTGATGGAATATGTTGAGCCGCTAGAGTTTGTTCCCTTGCTCGGATTGCCGTGTAAGTGTTGTGACGCTGAATGCCACCCGTGGTCCTCTGGTTCTCAAGCCGCTGGGGCACAGGTTTTCAGATATCGCTCTCTTGGCCGAGATGATTGCCGTTGATAAGTGCCTGTGGTTCCGAGAGAGCTCAGAAGAGGATGAAACAGGAGAAGGGGCACAGTCTTGAATTTGGGAGTCAAGCAAGAACATTGAGGGACAAGTCGTCAGGAATAACAATGCTAGAAAAGAGGAAGCCGAGAAAGAGCGAACGAAGGAAAATCACATACCCAGAAGCAAGCCAAGAAACGAATACATTTTTTTAATCCCTCCTCGCCAGTAGACAAAAACAAAATAGAGATGTCCCAACTACCTCACTCCTCCAACAAGAGGGTAGTGGTGTTGACAAAAAATGCAAAAGAATGGGCGACCCCGGAATCGAACCGGGGTTTCTTCGGTCGTTGGGCATCCATTCAGAAACCACAACGAAGCGTCCTGACCACTAGACTAGTCACCCTGATGCTTGTTAGATGGACAGTGGTCCCCGATTCCAGGGTTTTGTGTGTGGGTGGGTGTGGATTTCGTTGGTGGGTTTGTGTGGATAACGAACAGAGTTCGTATGTGGGCGTGGTTGGTTGGATGTGGGTGATGGAGGTTGGGTGTGGGTTTTGAGTCTGCAGCTTGGTGGGCTCCGCTTGGTTGGTGGGAGGGAGGAGTGATGGCTATTCTGCGGGCTGCATGCAGAGGATTTGTGGTATTGGGGTTTCGGTTTGGTTGAGCGTTGGGGGGTTTCAATACAGAATGGTATGGAGGGCACTACGGCGGATTGGTTTGCATAGCAGGATATTTGTTACCTAGTTGACTTCATATCCTAGTAATTATCACACCCACTCGCCATCAAGCTTCCAGTGGACGAGGCGGCGAGCCTCATCATCTAGGCACCGACGCAAACAAGGAACCAAGGCCAGCCAGCACTCAAGCGAGACCTGCCAAACCGCCGCGAGCCAAGGACGGGAGTGACCCTTTCCTCCTCGCGACCAACCCGCCGATTCTGAAAACAATCAAGCAATGCCCCAACGCCTTCGCTAATGCAATCTCGGTTTCCCCGCCTTCCCAGGCAAACAGACTACCTCATTGGAGCAGTTCCTCGCAGGTCCAGTCCTCGTAGCTAAACGCACCTGGTCAGCGACTGGAGTGCGGGCAAAAGGGTTCAGTGCGACCTACTATCCATCCGGCAGGTAGCGGCGAACGATCAGGGGAATCTTCTTCTCCCTGAGCTCCTTGATGGCGATCTGGAGGGGGTCCGTCTCGCCCTCGAGGTCGACCAGGACGGGCGCGTTCATGCTGCAGAGTCCGATCAGCAACCAGCTCCCTCCCAATGCACAATGCCGCCTCCCCCGGACCAGAGCCAACCCACCTGATCTGCAGAGCCCTGGTGCCTAGGATGCGGGCCTTCTCGTACTTGGTCATGAAGGGCGTGGTGGTGCGCTGGTCGTTGGGGATCTTCTTGTCCTTGTGCGACTTGTCGTTGCCCTTGCCGTGGTTGGCGGCGGCGTTGGGGTCGCCGGACGCGACGACGTGGTCGGCGTCCTGGTTCTCGCCGTCCTGGTCGGGGCCGCGCGCGGCCTCGTCGTCGTCGGCGGGCTCCGGCTCGGGCTCATAGTACTCATCCGGATCCTCGTCGAAGGCGGGCTCGTCGTTGCTGGGAGGAGGCTGGTTAGAGGGGGTGAAGTGAGAGCGACATGGAGGCAGGGGCTAAGCTTACAGCGGCTCGCGGTCGTCGTCACCGCCGTAGTCGGACATTGTAATAAGATGAGGGGAGGCGGTAGTCCTGGTTGGCTATGAAGGGGGGGTAGGTGATGCGGGTGTGCGCGACGGTGACTGGCGATGCCGAGCACGATTGATTTTCTGCGAAGAGAGACGCGCCGCAAAGCGCAGACCAGAGGCGGCTGAGGAGGGACAGAGAAAAATTCGAGTGGGGCGCCTGGGCTAGGACGAGGCTGACCAATCACCGGGCCTGGAGCACCGTTGCCGCCGGCAACTCAATGCGCACCCACAAAAAAAGTTGGGGAATTCGAGGTTGAACTTGGACACGAACTGCAGCTTCATGCAGCAGCACCTCCTCCTCATCCCCAGCTCTGGCCTAGCCCCCCGACGAGAGCCATGAAGCGCAAAGCTGCCAGCCAAGGCGATGGCCCTTGCGGGCCGTCCAAACGCAAGCAGGCTGGGCAGCTGGAAGCAGCAGACAGCGACTACCCGGCATTGGCCCTCGACACGGCCAACTCGTCAACAACAGCAACCAACTCGCCCTCATCCACGCACGACGACCTCTACAACGACGACAGCACCGCTGGACCCGCCTCCCCTACCGCAACCGCCACCTCAATTCCCGCTACCCCCTCATCCCGCCGCGGCCGCAAATTCCCGTCCGACCTCAAGACCATCCCGTGCACATATCCAGGTTGCGTCAAGACCTTCAACCGTCCCGCCCGTCTGGCCGCCCACCTGCGCTCCCACACCAACGACCGCCCGCATAAGTGCCCTTACCCGGAATGCGGCAAGACGTATCTCGAGGAGAAGCACCTGGCCCAGCACATCAAGGGCTCGCACACCCACGAGAAGAAGTACACGTGCGAGGAGGAGGGCTGCGGCAAGTCGTTCGTCACCGCCACCCGCCTGCGCCGCCACGCCGCCGTCCACGAGGGCGCCGAGCGCTTCCGCTGCCGCGGCTACGACGGCTGTAGCCTCAGCTTCCGCAAGCACCAGACTCTGCAGCGCCACGTCCGCGTCGCCCACATGGGCATGGCCGCCTTCGTGTGCGGCGCCGACGGCTGCGACGCCGGCTTCGACACCGCCGGCGCTCTGCGGCGGCACGTCGAGCGCGAGCACGGCGAGATCCGCTTCTGGTGCGAGGAGTGCGGCGGCTGCGACACCGACGGCGAGGGCGACGGCCGCAAGGTCGGCTTCCGCACCCTTCTCATGCTGCAAGCCCACATGCGCAAGGAGCACGTCAACTGCGTGTTTTGCGACGTCAAGTGCGGCAGCCAGGCCGAGCTGGACCGCCACATCGACATGTACCACTCGGGCACCACGGTCGAGGAGCGCAAGACGGTCGAGTGCACCTGGGCCGGCTGCGACAAGAAGTTCACGCGCGTGTCCAACCTCAACACGCACATCCGGACCGCCCACGAGGGTCAGCGGTTTGTTTGCGGCGAGGTCAACACGTTCAACACGGAGGACATTGCCGACTGGAACTGGGAGGAGGAGGGCTGCGGCCAGGGCTTCATCAGCAAGCTCAAGCTGGAGGAGCACGTCCGCTATATCCACCTAGGGAGGAAGCGCCCGCCGCAACTGTACACTGTCAAGTCGACCCTGCCCGGGGAATCGGACGAGATGTCTGCGGCAGTGCCGACGAGGACGATCCTCTGCTCGGTCGCCGGCTGCGCGGCCAAGTTTATGCGGCACCATGACTTGGACAAGCACGTACAGAAGCACCACGGCAAGCCGGAGGAAGAGGAGGACGCCATCGACCCGCGGCTGCAGGGCGCGGCCGGGAACGGCCAGTTCTGGATTGAGTCGACGCTCCCGGTGACGGACGAGCCGAGTTTCGACTCAGAGTGGACCGAAATGCGGCGGCTGATCGACCTGGACATGCTGGTGGATGCGAAGGAGTAGAAAAGTGTATTTCTTTGTGTATTGTTTTGGGCGCGTATGGTTATTGTGCGGGAGCACATGTCGGTATACCCTTTGCTGTTTTGTTCTTGTCAGGGCGTATTTAGGGGTTTATATTATGGGGCACTGGGCTGGGGGACTGGAGGATCAAAAGCAACGCTGTGTATGGCTATATACGGAGTAAAAGAGGGGAATGGACGGATATTCTAGGTACATGCGCCAGATGAAGACGAAGCAGGTCTTACTAGACCGAAACGAAGAAAAGTCAATGTTATCCCTCCCCCGCCTTTGCCCCTGGCCGGTTCTCAACCTCCCCCCTTCAAGTCAACGCCTTGCCTTCTCACCACCCGCTTCCTCGATAACCCCAAATTCATAGATCCCCCCTTCCACCACTCCTTCCACCACCGCCTCCACCCCCTCTCCTCTAACATCCCCTTTTCCATCTTCTTCCCCCCACGCCCCAACCTCTCTTCACCCGAGCCTTATCCACATCCCCCTCTACTAACCAACCACCAACACTCAACCATCAACACGCCATCGGAAAATACGATTCAACGAGACCTGCCCCCGGCCCCCCAAGGCGGCTGACCCAACCCCAACCAACGTGCCACACACCACGCACACCCGGGGCAGTACCCGATCAGCTCGACGGTGGCGGCGTGCCACTCGCGCGGGGTGAGGGCGCGGAAGGTGGCGGTGTCGCGGAGGGAGGGGCGTTGGTTGGTGCGCGGGTACGGGTGGGTGTGGGAGTGGGTGTGGGAGTGCGAGTAGAGGTAGGGAAGGTGGGTGGGGAGGGTGGGGAGGGGGGTGGTGTTGCGAGGGTTGCGGATGGCGCTGGGGGGGATTTCCAGGCCGATGCCGCTGCTGGTGTTGATGCCGATGCCGCCGGTGCGGGGAGGGGGTTGGCTGGAGGTGGGGATGTGGTTGAAGTCTGGGATGGGGGCTGGGTTGGGGACGGAGCTGGGGATGCTGCCGAGGACAGTGATGGGGTCGTGGTTAGGGACGGAACTGGGGAGGTTGCTGAGGCCGGGGATGGGATTGTGCCCCTGCCCACTCCCGCGCCCAAAACGCACCCTAGATCGGCCTCGGGAACCCTCCATGACCCGGCTGAAGTCGATCAGGAGCTGGGAATCCAAGTCTGATCCAAACTGGTCCAGGTCGAAGTTGGCGGCGCGAGCCTGGCGCCTGACGCCGCTGAGGAACTCGCGCGAGGCGGTGTACCCTCCAAAGGGGAGGTACATGAGCAGTGGGGGGCTATTGACCCTTACGGCATCTCCTACCTCCTCGGTGAAATCGAACTCGAGCTCGTCGTCGCCGTCCCATCCGTCTGAAGAAGCCTCCGCTTCGTCGTTTCCCGACTCGTCCATGGCATCAGGATCAACCCCGTGAGCGGTGGCCCTTGGCTGTGGCTCGCCCTCGCCGTCGGAGTTGTACCCCTCCTCGCCGCCGGAGGCGGAGTAAAAGTCTGTTTCTGAGACTGTGTCGTCGTCATCGTCGTCAAACACTGCCGGGGATGTCGGGCTGGCGAGGGCTGCGGGCCGGGGCGAGGGGGGAGGGGCGGTTTGGGACCGGACCCGGGCGGGGGTTGGGGTGGGGGATTCGTCGCGGGGCGGCACCGCGGGTTGGCTGCTGCTTTGGTATTGCCCGGGGCTGGCGGTGATGCTGACGGTGGGGATGGACGGGTCAACGATGGGGCTGGCTGGGGGAGCTTGAGGCTGTGGCTCAGGCTGAGTGTTGCTGCTTTGGGCGGGAGGTTGTTGAAAAGGGTTGGGTGCTGTGGTTGTTCCTGTTATTGATGTTGGGTCGTCACCCACGGGTGTCATGGTCTGATTGTTGGGTTGGTGT